AGACGGAGCAGCATTGGGGAGGGCCAGGCACTGTGGTGCAGCTAGGTCATGTGATTCGGCTCCGGGTGGGGTGGGGACGCGGCTCTTTCTTTCCCTTTGTTCTCTGGGCGTGGGGTCCCGCGCCGCGCCGCGTGGTGCCGGGGCGCAGAGGAAGTCGGGGGCGGGAAGGGAGCGAGAAACCTTCACTGTCCGGGGTCGGAACGTGCACGGGACACTCACGACGGCGTGCTGAGGTCACGAGGTTGCTCTCAGGAGACGGGGCTCCCGGCTCCTAGCCCATGAAGCAAGCCGGCCCCACTTCAAATCCAAATTTCTGTGACGCTTCACCGAAGTCATTGAACATAATGTCCACGATGGGCACTTGTTCCACTTTGGGGGTGTCGATCTCCAGGACAGTCTTCTGATAGCCTTTCTTGGTCTAGGGAAGAGGGGGCGGCAGCCATCAAGAACAGTGGGAGCTCTTGGAGTTTACCCATCACCCCCACAGCCCACCTGATTCTGAACCCGGCTGAGTGCCCTGTTTCTGCCCCCCACGACCCACACGGGCAGCAATTCAATCCTGTCCACTCGGGCAAGTGTTGGCAGAAATCTGGCATATGGCTGACCGGAGCATGCACTGAACTGCTAGAATGTTCCACGAATCCTCCTCAGACAGGCGGGAGAAGAACGCGGGTAAGGAGACCCTTCCAGGCTTTAAAGCAGCCCCCCACCTAGGACCCAAGACCGACTACAGAATGGGAAGGTCTTGCCGCAGAATCAAAATGAGGTGGTCCGTCCGTGTTCACAGATGAAGTACCCCAAGATGGCATCAGCAGAGCCTGGGGCCATGTGCGGCCAGTGCGACTACCCGCATCACACCCTGCCCTCGGCCCTCAAAGGGCTGGGACACTCAGAAGTAAGAGGACTTTGTGTTCACAAGCGGGGGTGCAGAGCCTCGGGTGCAGAGGGTACTGGGTAAACTGAGGCACAGAGGGACAGGGCTAGCGCAGTGAATCAGCAGCTTGTGGGGTGAGTCGGCGCCCAATCCTTGCTCAGACCCATGCCATCCAGAGGGCAGGACCCAAGCCCAGGAGAGACCTCCTCCCTCCCAGCCCATGTTCCCCGGAACAAAGAGTGAAGACCCAAGATTCTGTGGGCCCATGAGCCACCCAATTAACTGGGAGCGTTCAGAACATTTATGAGGCTCAACCTGCCCTGTTGTCCGTCACGTGCCCCCAAGACAAAGGTGCTCAATGTCCGAATCTTTCCCACGAGCCATGGGACAGCAGCCTGCCAAGTTATCTTGGACAACCTGTCGCGACCTTGGCGGAGGCCAGTTGTACAGTCTCAGCTGGCTCTGTGCCCAGGAAGGGTCTCCCCAGCCCCCAGAAGAAACCACCAGTGGGAGCCGGAAAGGATCCCTCCAAGGGGGCAGTGCGGTCAGGACGCAGCCTAGGAGAGGGGACTCTGAGGCCAGAGACTCAAACATCAGTCCCGACTTTGTTCTTTCTCTACCTCCCAGGGCTTCACCCCAGCGCTGGGGTCTAAATGTGTGTATCCCCCAAGCTGGTGGTGTTAGTAGGCAGGGCATTTGGGAGAGGATGAGGTCTTCAGGGTGGAGCCATGAGAAGGCGGGACCTTTGGGAGATGAGGTCATGGGGTGAGTGGGATTAGTGCCCTTACCCAAGAGGCCCCAGAGAGCCCCCCTCGAATGCCTCTGCCGGGTGGAGACACCGTGAGAAGCTGGTTGTCTGCTACCTAGAGGAAGGCCCTCCCCAGAACCTGACCCTGACCTCAGACTTCCAGCCTCCAGACCTGCAAGGAACACGTTTCTGTTGTTTATAAGCCACTCAGCCTATGGTGATCGCTGCTGGCTGCCTGAGTGGACTTAGGCAGACCCTGGGCTGGGATGTCCAGATTTCTGATCCTCAGAAGCTGAGGGAGTCTAGAAATATCTGCTGTTTCAAGTAGCTAAATGGAGGGGGGATCCTAATTTGTTGCAATAACCAATATACTCTCTGGGACTCAGTTTCCTTCGCTGGAAAATGTGTGCTGACTTCACAGAGGTGGAACGTGAGAATGAAGCTTCACGGTCCTTCACGCGTTCCAGGTGCTGGCTTTATGAACGTCTCTAGCTTTACCTCCTTGGAATATCCCTCTCAATGTCGTCCTGCCCACAGCCCTGCCTTGATGAGAGCACCCTTCCTACCACAGCTGGTCAGGCTGGGATTCACTTAAAGTTGGGATTAGAACTTCAGGGCAAATTCGGAGTCTCCAGAAGCTTGTGCACCCTGAACAGAGACGCTGATTCAGCAGGTTTCGGGTGGGATTCAGAATCTACATTATTTTAAAAAAGGTGTCTTGGGCCGGGCACAGTGGCTCATGCCTATAATGCTAACACTTTGGGAGGCCGAGGCAGGGGAAATGCTTGGGCCCAGGAGCTCAAGACCATCCTGGGCAACATAACGAGACCAAAAATTATTAAAAATTAGCCAGACGTGGTGGTGTGTGCCTGTAGTCCCATCTACTTGGGAGGCTGAGGTGGGAGATCAAGGCTGTGGTGAGCTGTGATTACACCACCACACTCCGGCCTGGGAGACCAAGACTCAAAAAAAGGTGTCTCAGAGAAATCTGATGTGTGTGACTCATGGCTGGCCTTTGAGAATCACTGTCCTCATCACAGGGCCTCCCAGGAACTTGGCAGCATGGATGCTGAGTATTCCATGGAATGCCCAGCGTGTGGGGCAGCCAGCACCCTGCGGCCGGCTTGGCCGGGCAGGGCACAGCCCAGATGCCTCTGCTGGCAACGCTGGCCGGGGGCAGAGGTCACAGCTCTCCAATGGCGAGGCAGGGCAAGGAGCAGCCACAGCCCTGCAGCTGCTGGCAGACATTGGTGGGCAGCAGAGGCTGGACGCAATATCCCTGAAGCCGGTGGCCACCCACGCCCTCTGGGGGTGAAACCTTGGGAGACCAGTGACCTCCACATCCTCCCCACCAGGCCAGCAGGGAGCTGGGACCACCTCTGTGGTCTGAGCCCTGTCTGCTCTGGCCTCTCCTTCCATGCCTGGTCCCAACCAGGGAATCCAGTGAGTTGGGCTGGCCTGGCCTCTACTGGGCTGCTGGAAGGCCAGCTGTGTGAACTCAGTGACAGGTCAAGTCAGTAAGCTGACCAGCAAGGCAGTGCCTGGTCCTTCTCCTCTCCCCTGACCCTGCCCAGGGACAGGCAGCATTGGCCTCCCACCCTCCTGGGGACAGGTAGTACTCGCTGAGCTGGCAGGCGCTCTCAGCCGGATTTATGGGGCCCCTCTGCTCCAATTACCTGAGCGCTTAGAGGGGGCTTATTTAAAGCAGGCTGCTACATGCTGCTCTGTTACCCCGCAATACCAGACGCATAAATAACCATTACAGGCCGGCGATGGCCCCCCGGGGGCGCACAAAACTGCGCAAACACCGGGATTTATGGGGCGGGATCCTTGGTCCTCTCGCGGGGTGATTTGTGCCTCCCCACGGGGTCCCTCGGCAGCCCTGTCGATCGGGCTACTCAACCGAACAGTGCCCACACCAGAATGCCAATTTCTGTGGCCATGATTACAAAAGGAATCCTTAGCAGGTAGGCCTTGGGGTCTGGACAGGGCTTTCGCCACATACCTAGGATCAGAGGATCAGGGGTTCCTTCCTGCAGGAACCCCGGAATTAAACAGAAGGATGGTGACTTTTTTTTTTTTTTTTGAGTCAGGGTCTCACTCTGTTGCCCAGGTTGGAGTCCAGTGACATGACCATAGCTCACTGCAGCCTTGACCTACTGGGCTCAGGCGATCGTCCCGCCTCAGCCTCCCGAGTAGCTGGAACTATGGGGGCACACTTTGCAGAAGAGCTTTTCAGGGGTTGGGGAGGGCAGAGCCTGCATGAATCTGGGCAGGCTTCCCCCCTAGATGCCTCTGCACCCCAAGGTCCCCTGGGGTTTGGGGATTTCTTCCTTCAGGGACCTTGGATACCTTGATCTTCCACAGGGGTGAGATTTGCCAAGTCCACAGTCAGATCTGAACACAAACCCACCCAAATCCCAGACTGCCATGCAGTGGGGAGAGGGGGCCACCCCCACCAGATGCCCCTGCATTCCCCTTCTCATGCTGCTGCCAGGTGCCCTTCTTTCCACCCAAATTTCCTTTCCAGGAGTTCTTTTTTTTCCTCCCCATCCACGGGGTTGTTCTGTCTTGAGCCATTCCCTCCCCACCCTTTTAGAGACAGAACCCACTCTTTCCAGGAGTGAAACGTACCGGAGTGGGAGCTGTTCCACCTCACCCCCCACCCAGCTTGCAGTCTGGGTGTCACTGCCCTGCTTTTGTGCCTAGTGATGCTCAAAGAACAGCTGCAAAGTTCAAAAATGGTCACGGTGGAGACGGAATGAGAGAGCAGGCATGCTCTACTCTGCTACAGTTGGGACGGCCACTCAGGCTCCTACCAGTGACGTCATGAGAGACAGTGGCCTGTTTGGATGGCAGCTGTGTTTGGAGTGCAACCTCGGGGCTCCTGGCCGCCAGCTCCAGCCACACTGGCTTCTTGGAGGAGACTAGCTAGGTCCTCTAAGCCCTTGGGGCAGATGAGTCCCTTTGATCTCCTGCAAATCTCTGCTTGTTTGTTTTTTTTTTTGTGCAGGACAGCCATTCTCCATGTGGGAAATTCTGCCCCCGGGAGACACGGACAATGTCTGGAGATGTTTCTGGTTGTAATGACTAGAGGGCTGCTACTGGCATCTCTTGAGCAGAGGACAGGGATGCTGTTCACCATCCTATGGCACATGGGACAGCCCCACAAAATCATCATCATCATCATAATCATCATCTGGCCTTGAATGCCAAAATCACTGAGGCTGGGAAACTCTTCCATCAGCTCTAGAACCAGACAGAAGGGACCAGAACTTGGAAGTGGTGGGTGGGTGTCATGGACAAGCAGACTTTAGCTCAATCCTCGGAAGAGCTTCCTGACACCAGGACTATAACCATGGCTTGGGCTATCTCAGGAGGTAATGAGAGCCCCATCAATGGAGGCATTCAAGGTGCAGCAATGCCAGGAAGGGGGTGGAGAGCTACTAGACTGTCAAGAACAGGTACACATGCTGGACTGTTAAGGTCTCCTGTGGTTTCGGAATTCCCTTCCCCAGGAAGCTGGATCTCTCAATCTCCCACAGGGATGAGTTCTGGATCTGTGGGTCAGGTCTGAGAACTGACTCCCACAAATCCAGAGGGTGGTGGCAGTAGGGAGGGAGGCTGAGCCCTCAGGGTACAGACGGTTCCTGCCCGGCATAGCCTGGCCACACACTTGCCCGGGGACAAGGAACAGCCTTCATCCTCAGCGTAGCCCCAGGGCTGTCAGAACTATTTCCTTTTGCAGGGAAGGGTGTTGAGCATCCTAGGACTGAGGCCAGGTGCTCCTCAGGGCTGCTGGTGGGGAGGAGGCAGGACTGGAGGCTGGGCCCAACCTGCCCCCAGGGGCGGGGCCGACCCTCTGAGTCCACACTTGCTTTATGAGACCATCCCACAATGCTCTGCGTGGACCAGTAGTCACATGCCCCAGCTCAGGGAGGGTGCCGTGTGGGGTTGACCCTGGACACTGAGTGTGGGACCAGCAGAGAGGGTGGGGTCGACACTTGTCCCATTCCCTCGGGAGCCAGCCTGGGCGGGTGATGGGGCTTGGAAATGTGTCTCCTCCGATCTCTAATCTCGTGTTGAAATGTGATCTTCGATGCTGCGGTGGGGCCTGGTGGGAGGTGGTTGGGTCCCGGGGGCAGATCTCTCATTTGGGCTCAGTGCCATCCTCACTGGCTCTATTGGTTGGTTGTTTAAAAGAACTGGGCACCTTCCCCTGCTTCCTCTCTGGCCATGTGGTTTCCTCACCCCATCCCCTTCTGCCATGGAAGCTTCCTGAGGCCTCGCTAGATGCCGGTGCCATGTTTCTTGTATAGTCTACAGAACCGTGAGCCCGATCAACTCCTTTTATTTATAACCTGTCCAGCCTTAGGCCAGACATGGTGCCTCACACCTGGAATCTCAGCACTTTGGGAGGCCAAGGCAGGAGGCTCACTTGAGCCCAAGAGCTCAAGACCGCCTGAGCAACATAGTGAGACCTCGTCTCTACAAAAAATTAACAAATTAGCAGGGCATGGTGGTGCACATCTGTAGTCCTAGACACTCAGGAGGCAAGACAAAAGGATCACCTGAGCCCAGGAGGTTGGGCTTTCTTTGAGCTGTGATCATGCCAGTGCACTCCAGCCTGGGTGACAGAGTAAGGCCTTGATTCAAAAAAAAAAAAAAAAAAAAAATTGCCCAGCCTTGGGTGTTCCTTCATAGCAGCACAAACAAACCAAGACAGTAGGTGGTGTTTTAGGGTCTCAAGAACAGGTGGGGAAGAGATCAGGGGTTGATATCAGGAAGTTACCAGAATACCCACAGGCTAAGCTTCTCAGAGACCCACCACCTCCAGCCTCTAGAAGGCCACACAAGTGGGACACATCTGAAAACATTCACGGGACATCCCTGGTGCCCGGCTGCATTTCCAGGACACACGGGCACACCCCAGACCTGAGCAGCTGCCCAGGTGGACAGCATCCCCCAGAGATGCACTCCCAAGAGGCTGGCCCTGAGTTGGGGTGAGCTGGGGCAAGAGAGGAAGATGCCCACACACCCGGGGGCAGAGGTAGGGTGTGAATGCCAATGCCAGCCGAGTGGTCTGAGCAAGCCTCTCGCCACTTGGGTCTTGGTTCCCCTGCCTGGGAGTAAGATCTCCCCCGACATGAGGAGGGTCTGAATGGGCTGGACCCACAGTAGGGTCCTGCCAGGCCACCGACTGGTCGCAGTTGTAGGTGACGTTCTGGTGAGCGGAAGCACTTAACAGCCACAGGAAAGTCATTGTGGCAACAGCAATGCTGCGGTCACTCTTGGGGCCTGAAGAGCGTCTCCCAGGATGGCATGTTTTCAGGAGCAAACTCAGCCCTAGTCCTGGCCACTTCTGGGAAAGACCTGCCCAAGGACAGACAGGCTTGGATTCTGAACTACAAATGACACTGGGTCTTTTTTTTTTTTTTTGGTAGAGACCGGGTCTTGCTATGCTGCCCAGGCTGGTCTCAAACTCCTGGCCTCAAGCGATCCTCCGGCCTCGACCTCCCAAAGTGTGTATCAGCCACCATGCCTGGCTGACACCAGGTCTTCAACGCCTCACTCCATGTCACACCCAGGAATGGAGTGATGAACCCAGGCCCCCTGGATCTTCCTGCCGGTCTCACATTTCCTTTCCTAACTCCAGCACCGTAGAAGGTTCCAGAAATTCTGGCTATGCACACTTGGGGTTCCGAGTCTTCCAGCAATGGTGGGGCTGCCCAGGGGCAGGAGCCTAGTCTGGGGACACTCACGGCACCTCCAGCAGGTGCTCAATAGATGCATGTTGAGGGAGGCATAAGCCCCACGGAGGCGTGCGTGAATGACGTCATGGCTGAGGGGCGACACTCACCGCACAGCCGTCCACCAGGGCGCGGATGTAGGGGTTGTTGTCGTAGGACATCTCCTCGTCATTGGAGCCCAGGAAGCGGATGGCCTTGTCGTAGCTGCCTGTGGCCGCGTCCTGCCAGGCCACCGACTGGTAGCAGTTGTAGGTGACGTTCTGGTGGGCGGAGGCACTTAGCAGCCGCAGGAAAGTCATCTGCACCACGCCCACGGGGTTGCCCTCGGCGTCCACATAGGAGAGCTGCAGGGGTACAGGAGGGGAGGGTCAGCGGGTCAGGGACACACATCGAAGCCCCACATCCGTGCTGCCCCCTGGGCCCCTGAGGCCAGCACACACGGGCTCCCTTGGAGATTTCCAGGAAGAACGTGAACCACTCCTTGATTTCTTCAGAGACTTAAATAATTCCCCCACTCTGGTGGCCTTGCTTATTTTGCAGGGTTCAGAGCAAATACTGCCTCTTCCAGGAAGCCTGCCTGGGTTAGACGCTCCTGTGGCTGCCATCCCCCACCTTGGTCCGTCTTTCCTACTGAACCGTATGCTTGGAGAGGGCAGGAAAGTGTCCCCCTTGCTTGCTGCTGGCCCCGGTGCCCAGCCCATGGCTGTCCCGGCATGCACTTGATAAAAAGGTTTGCTGCACAATGAACAGCAGCTGGTGTCTCTAGGCCAGCGCCTACCGCGCGGCCCGCTGAAGCTGTTCTTCCTCCACACCTCCACCCACAGACCTCCTTCCTTCTGCCGTTCGGGCGCCTCCGTCCCAGATGGTGATCTGGGTCTGCCCAGTTTGCATGTGTTGACCGAACAGCAAAGCATCCTCAAAATAAGCCTTGCATTGAGACTGTCCCTTGCATCCCTGAGTCACAGAGCACCGTGCACCCATCACTGCACTGGGACACCTGGAGCTGCAGGTGAGGTTTGGCTGCCCCCCAGAATGGGGGGGGTACGGGGCCAGAGATCGTACCTGGACTTAAGTGATCCTCTTGTCTTAGTCTCCTGAGTATCTGGGACTGCAGGTGTGCACCACCATGCCCAGTTGATTTTTGCTTTTGTAGAGATGGGGTCTCACTACGCTACCCAGGCAGGTTTCAAGCTCCTGGCCTCCAGTCATCCCCCTGCCTAGATCTCCCAAAGTGCCAGGATTATAAGTGTGAGCCACTGTGACTGCCCTAGGATCAGTTTCCCTGGGAGTGACAGACGGAGATCTCTGACCCCACCCTGGCTGCACCCACTTCCTGAGCTCCCTGGACAGTTCTGCGTCCTCCCTCTGCTCCAGGCCTCTGTCTGGCTCCTCCTTCTGCCCAGAACATCACCCCCTCGGCAAGAGGGGCCTCCGCTGCTGTCCTCTGGGTCACGGTCCAGACCACAGCTCTCGGGAAGACTCCCCCCCACTTCCAGCCTCTAGGGCCGGGGTGGAGCACCCTGGCCCGCATCCCAGCCTCCACCCCTGCAAGACTTCACACCGCCCTGGCCCCGTGTCCAAAGGCCGGCAGAGGAAGGTACTCATGAAAGGAATAAAAGAAAGACTATCCCGGGGGCTCAGGAGCTCCTGAGAAGCCAGAACTGGCGAGGGGCAGGGGGCTTGGGACCTCAGGGGGGTGACTTGGGCCAGCTGGGGCCCGACGGTCAGCCGCCAGGCAGGAAGGCCGGCAGAGGGAGGGTCAGGCTACCTGGATGGCCGGGGTGATCGGGAGCCCTCCTGGAGGCATGGAGGCCCAAGAGGGCGTCTGGCATGGCCATTCAAGAAACACCCCTTCTTCCCTTCCCAGGGGTGGCTTCCCAGGGGATGAATGGGCCTTCCTGTGGCCGAGTGGCTCCATCGGCCCGCCTTGCCATGCTGGCAACATGACCCTCCCGTCTCTACACAAATCCAGGGAAGGCATCAGAATGTGCCACTTCTTCTCAAGAGGCCTCCCCAGTGTCACGAGTTGGGAGTCCCCAGATGGGCGCAGGGCCTGCTGCAGGGTGCCCTGAGAGACATGCTTGGATTTCAGCATCTCTTCAGCAAACCCAAGCTTTCTGGAACACTCCGCACCGCCAGGGGAGGCGGACACTTCTAATGCCCATGAAACGGAGCGTGTGTCTCTCCCCCAACCCAGGGGGACCCCAAGGCCCCTCTCTGCGGGGAGGGCAGGGCCCGAACTGTCTGTGGCATTGGGAAATGAAGGAGAAAAATGCCAGCTTCTGAGACCAGCTGTCCCCACCCCTGGGCAGCTGCCACCCCCCACCCCCACGGTTCTGTTTTAGATCCTGCCCCGGCCCAAAAGAGCCATAGGGAACACGTGAAGGAGGTTTTAAATCACCGTTGCCACATGTGTCTGGGCATGTGGAGTGGAGGAAGGATGGAGATGGGCACACTTTATAACTCACTTTAGTTTTTATTTTTTGAGTCACTCTGTCACCCAGGCTAGAGTGCAGTAGTGTGATCACAGCTCACCACAACCCCGACCTCCTGAGCTCAGGCAAGCCTCCTGCCTCAGTCTCCATTGTTGCTCGAACTACAGGCGTGTGTCGCCATCCCTGGCTAATTTTAACATTTTTTTGTAGAGACGTAGTCTCACTATGTTACCCAGGCTGGTCTCAAATTCCTGGGCTCAAATGATCCTCCTGCCTCAGCCTCCCAAAATGCTGGGATGACGGATGTGAGCCACCATGCCCGGTCCTATAACCCACTTTTTAACTAGATGTAACTAGAGGCAACCAAAGTATCTGGCCAGCCCAGGAGCTGCCCCTTCACCATAGGGCAGAGGGAACACCCTGAGGCCCAAAGCCATCAGCAAACACTATGTGGGGCTCTTGGATGTGGCACTGGTGAGCCTCACAGGCGGACCATGAGAGAGAAAGTGTATACAAACCAGCAGGAGGGGCCATCCGGTGCTCCTGGGAGGGGATGTGACTGACTCGAGAAAAGACGCATGCCGCAGGGAGAAGCCAGCGTGTGCCACTGGACACAGAAGGACCCGAGGGCCCCATGTGGGACTCCCAGAACCCCATGGAAACCCTCCCTTTCTGGTGGGAAGGGGTTTCTGCAGTGTTATCTCACTGGAGGATGATCTGGGAGGCCCCACCCAGAGAGAGTTCTGATTTCTTTCTATTTTTTTTGAGTGGGAGTCTCACTCCATCCCCGGGCCAGAGTGCAGTGGCATGCTCATGGCCACCATAGCCTCGACCTGCTGGGCGCAGGCAATCCTTCTGACTCAGCCTTCCAAGTAGCTGGAACTGCAGGCATGTGCTACCACGACCGGCTAATTAATTTATTTCTTTGTTTATCATAGAGACGAGGTCTTGCCAAGTTGCCCAGGCTGGTTTTGAACCCTTGAGCTCAGGCAATTCTCTTGCCTCAGCCTCCCAAAGTGCTGGGATTATAGGCTTGAGCCACCACGCCCAGCCGAGTTCTGTTTTCTTTGAGGAGAGACCCCCATCAACCGCGCATCCGCCGGTGATAGTCACAGCACTAGAAGGAAGGCTTTGGGAAGGCCCAGAAGTCAGCTGGGATTTTCCCCTGGAGGGTCCCTTTGTCCCCAGCCCTGGTCAGTTGGGAAACAGGGTAGCGGTGGGTGGTGGGCAGTTTGCGAGTGAGGTGTCACAGCCAGTTCCTCCGAGGGAGGGACCTGGGCTCTGCCCGTTTTGCATGTTTTGGAGGGTGGCATAGGGGGCTTCTTTGGAGATCAAATGCCAGCACGAGAGGCGAGAGGGCAGGGTCAGGCCCAGGCAGGGGCCAACAAACAGCAAGGGTGCAGGACGGACCTGCCGCCCTGGTCCTAGGCAGATTAATCCTCCACGGTCCCTACCCTGTGCCCTCTGGGCCAAGCAGCCCTGGCCACTGGCCTTCCTCCCTAAGTGCTGTGCCAGGTCCTTCTTTTTTTTAATTTTGAAGAGAACCAGGGTCTCACTAGGTTGCTCAGGCTGGTCTTGAACTCCTGGGCTCAAGCGATCCTCCTACCTCAGCCTCCCAAAGTGCTTGGATTACAGGCACCAGCCACCGTGCCCGGCCTGTTCTAGGTCCTTCTGTGTGCCAGCGACTTTTTGGAAAGACAGCACAACAAGGCAGAGAAGCGAAAAAAACAGGAGAAAGAAGAGAATGAGGCTGTCTAAGCCTTCAGCAAGATAGCCAAAGAAGCCTCCAAAGTGTTGCCCGTGGGAGCACACACCTCAGTGTCGGGAAAGCAGCTAGCGTGACTCGAAGGCCGACAACACAGAAGGCACAAGACATTCATGATCAGCCAGGACGAGCCTCTAGGTGAGGGGACGAGGGGCTTCAGAGGTGCGGATGGGGCAATGGCGGCCAGAAGCCACTGCTCTCTGAATCCTTGGGGAGAGGCGTGGCCTCTGCACCCTCAAAGGGGAGGCTGGAGCTGGCTGGAGGACGGTGACCCGCGGCCAAGGGTCGGGTTGGACACCTGGGACCTGAGGGCTGGCTTCTGCAGGGGAAAGACCCTCAGGTCACGTAGGGACGGGGCCAAGTTAAGAAGGAACATCTGGGCTCTCCACGGCACCCCAAACCCACTTGCAGGAAAAGGGCACAGAACTGTGCTCTTTATTTCAGCAAAGGGCCCAGATCTCACTTCTGCAGTGTTCAGGTAAGCAGCCTCTGGCCTCCCACCAAGTCCAAACAGGTTCTGGGCGTCTCCACTGGCCAGAAAAGCTTCCCACTTGTTTCTTTCTAGGGACGCCGGTCTCCTTTCCTCTCAGGGACGGGTTATGTAAGACTCGATCCCCAGAAGTTACGGCACGACTCACACCACTGCGTGGGGTGCAACTGAGAACTCTGAGGCCGGGTGGGCAGTCGGGGGGCTATTCATCCCCAAGCTGCAGAAGGAGCAGACACGTGGTACAGGCCTGGGAAGGACCCCGGATACTTTAAGTGGTCCCAGATCTGTGACCTCCACCCTGCCCACGGGATGGAGCAAAAGCCTGCCCGCTCCCAGGTACTCCGCCCTTAATTCGTGGGCAGCTGGGCGGCACCATCCGTGGGTGCAGACCAGTCCTGGCGCAGGGCCCACACCCAGCTCTGGGCGCCCTAGATCCAACAGAAAACCACCCTCCTACTCCAGGCTGAAAGGCACTCCGGCGGGGGCAGTGGGAGGGGTGCCCGAGAGAACCCCACGCCTGTGCTGGGTCTTGCTGTCATGGGACGTGGAGCAGTTCGGCCAGGGGGCGAGAGCGGTGTGGCACATGGTGGCGATTATTCCCATGCAGAGCCGCGAGCCAGCCGTGCCGCAAGCGAGCAGCCGAGGCGGCCGGGCCCAGCGCCCACTTACCAGGGAACCCCGCTTGTACTGACTATACCAGGTGGAGGGCTGCTCTTTGGGCCAGCGGGCCATTTTACTCTGTAAGATACGAGACGGGCGGGTTTAAAGCCACAACCGCACACATGCCAGAGGCCGCCTTACCAGTTTCCCACGCTTGAATTCACTGAACCAGGAGCCCGGGTTCTCTTTGGGCCAAGAAGTGATTCTGGCCTAAACGTCCAGCGAGGAGGTGAAGAGAGAGAAATAGAATGAGATGGTTACTGCTCCTGCAGGTGTGAGAGACACCCCTGTGCTCCCCGGTCCTGTGACCTCATTCTCACGCTGGGCAGATGCAGCAGGGGACCACCCTGAGAGTGAAGGGTGTCGAGGAGACCGGTGACGAGGGGGAAGTGGCACTGCCCGGAGCTCCCTAGGTACCCGCACCGCCTGGCCTGCTTCCCAGGGGATTGCATTCTGTACTGATCAGCTTCCTACATTAGGCCCCAGCATAGGGCTCAGCTCTTAGTAACTGATGCTTGTGGGTGTAGAGGAGTGAGTGAGTGATGGAACCTCAATGACCGGGATGAAGGTGACCATGGCAGTAAAAGCCAGCATTCTCCTCACGGCCTCCACCTGGCTGCTGTGTGTGTATGAGTGTGTGTGTCTGGTGTGGTTTGCGACGTGGGGTTTGTGATATGGTATGTGTGTGTTTATGGTATGATGTATACATGGTGTGGTTTGCAGTGTATATGTGTGTGTGGTTTGGGATGTGGTTTAAGGGGTGTGTGTGTGTGTGTGTGTGTGGTGGGGTCTTTTCTGAAGACTGAGGACCTGTGGACTGTGGGTCCTCCTGTGAGCCACCGGCTGGTCTCCTGTTGACAAGAGACGGAGGGTCCGCTCCCCTAATGCCTCCTGGAATTGTAGATACAGAGGACACACTTAGGAGAGCAGGGTTCAGGGATGCTATGGAATGAATGAATGAATGGATGAGTGGGTGGATGGATGGGTGGGTGGATGGATGGGTGACTGGATGATTGCATGGGTGGGTGGATGGGTGGGCAGATGGACAGATGGGTGGATGGGTGGATGGAGGGTGGAAGATTGGATGGGTGGCCAGAGAGATGACTAGATGGAAGATTAGATGGACGAACAGCTGAAGGATTATTAGATGGATGGGTGGGTAGACGCCTGGCTGGCCAACACTTGGGGAGAGCAAGACAGAGGTGCCGTGGGGTGGCTCAGAGACGTCTGGGGGTCTGTCCAGAGAATGCTCCAGCAAGGCCACGGGCAGAGGACAGGTGGTGAAAGAGGGTGAGAAACAACACCTTTTCTCACTGAATTACACCCGGCCTCTGCCAGACTGAAGGAAACAAGAACCGAGCTGGAACGTCCTTGTGTTTGAATTCTCTTTCTGAAGCATAGGACGCTCACTGCTAGAAACGCAGGCTCTTGAGGATGTCACATTTCAGGTCGGGGAGGGAACACATTAAACGGGAGCCCACACGTCTCCCCACCAGCATGCGGCTCTTGCCACGGCCACCAGCTGCTGGCCCTGGGTTGCTATGCTCACAGTTTAGGGAGTGGTGGGGCAGCGGCCCCCAGGGAGGACTCAGGGGCTCTCCCTCCAGCGGAAAACTGCTTCTGCGGCCAGAGGCCATTAGGAAGTTGTGGCTGTAGAGTAGGGGCTGCAGCCCCACAGAGGGTTGTCTGCGCCTCGGATCATGTGGCTGAGCCCTCCGAGGGGGACACCATGGAGGCGCATCTGTCTGTCCAGGACGACACGGGGCAGAAGGCTCGAGTCTCGGTCATCTCTCCAGTCAGTGAGGAGGAGCCCTCGTCCTCCTTGCCTGTCCTGAGCCAATGTGGCCTCTGCCTCAGGTGCACACTTGAGGGATGGCAGTGTATGCCTATCTACATGTACCCACACACCAGCTGCACACTATCCACATGCCCATCCACACGTACCATCCCACATGCACCCACACACTAGCCACATGCCCATCTGCACACACCCACACACTATCCACATACCATCTGCATGCCAGCCACATACTATCCACACACCCATCTGCATGCACCCACATGCTATCCACACACCTCTGCATGCCGGCCACACACTATCCACATGCCATCCACACACCCATCTGCACACACCCACACACTATCTACACACCACTCACACAGCACACACACTATCCACACGCCCATCCACACATACCCACATACTATCCGTATGCCATCCACATGCCCACCTGCACGCACCCACACACTATCTACATGCCCATCTGCATGCACCCACACACTATCTATACATCATCCACATGCCACCCATACTATCCACACGCCCATCCACACATACACAATCCACATGACATCCACACACCCATACACCACCCACATACCATCTACACTCCCATCCGCGCACACCCACTTATCATCCACATGCCTATCCACACACGACCACATAACATCCACATGCTCATCCACATGTGCCCACATACCATCCACATGCTCATCCACACGCACCCACAGACCATCCATGCACCACTCACACCCATCTACACATCCATCCACACACACCCATGCACACTCACACACCCCACATACCTGTTTATACTCACACACAATCCACACACCACCCACACACTATTCACGTGCCATCCACATGCCTGTCCACATGTCACCCACACACCACCCACACGGTTGTTCACACGTACCCACATGCCACCCACACACCATCCGCATGCACCCCCAGAGCATCCTCATGCACCCTCATAGCAGCCACACATCAGTCACATGCCCATCCATGCACTACCCACATCCCATCTGCACACCCATCCACACACACCCACATACTACACTCCGCTCACATGCCCCACATGTCTGTCTCTACTCACTCATATGCCACCCACACACCATCTACTCTCCCACCCTCATGTCTGTACACACTAACCACATAACAGCACACACCCATCCACATAAGCTATTCCCCCATCCACACGCACACAAATTCCTGCTACAGAGCTAAGGCCCTGGGAGGCCACAGGGGTGACCATTTAAGAACATTCCCCAACATCTCGATGAATCAGAACCTTAGTGCCTAGCCACCTTCCTGACTAAATAGGTTTTAAAACAAAGCACCCAGTAGGAACTAGAACAAACCCCCCGGAAATAAGCTGGTACTAATTTAGGCTAAGGGCAGCTTCTAGAAGAGATCTTCGGGTCACTTTATTATACCTGCCACCAAATTCCTTCAAAGGGTTATTTTTTGAGGGGTGTTTCAGGTCAGGAGAAGCACCGAGTCACTTGAGAAAGGCTTTTACCAACTAGCACTGGGGTGGCAAGACCCCAGGCCACACAATTTCATTTTATTGCTAACCAATTTCTTCTTAAAACCACTCAGGCCTACAACTGGAAGAACACTTGTATTTATGAAACGGGTCGATTTCTGGTTTTCAGTCTTAAAGCTGCGTATGTGAGAAACGCCTGAAACCCTCGACCCTGTCGTGAGACGTACACCCCATGGGGGCCATTGTGGGACATGGGTACTCACCCCTTCTGACTTCTTGTCGGGGAAGACGCACGTTGACCCTCCAGCCGTGAAGTTGCAGTAAACTTTGAAGGAATCCCTGGAGCATCCTTGGTTGGGATCTACCCAGTATTCACCTGGATTCAGAGACAGGAAGGGAGGTGGGCAGATTCATGAGAATGGCTCCCTGGACAGTTCCAGAAGCCGCTGCAACGTTTCAGCCCAGCAGTTAAAATGTACGTCCAGGGCCTTCACGCCACCAGCAAGGCACATGTTTTATCGCATTTTGCTTCTCCTGCCGGGCCCATAAAGAGATGTGGACAAACTCATTCACCAAGAACACAGTCAGAACGCAAAGCACGCTGGGTACGTGTTCTGGTGACCAGAGAGGGCAGAGGGCTCGGCCCACTCTCTGGGTGGACAAAATGCAGAGAATGTTCAGGAATGAACTGTGGAGATTCGTGTGTGTGGGACCAGAGTCTTACTGGAGGGAAGATAAACAACCACAATTTTATTTTATTATTCTTTTTTGAGTCAAGGTCTCACCCTCTTGCCCAGGCTGGAGTGCAGTGGCACAAACAGAACTCACCGCAGCCTTGATCTCCTGGGCTCAGACAATTCTCCCATTTTAGCCTCCTGAGTAGCTGGGACTACAGGTGTGTACCACCATGCCTGGCTAATTTCTTTTTGTAGAGACATGGTCTCACTATGTTGTCCAGGCTGGTCTCAAACTTCTGGGCTCAAGTGATCCTCCTGCCTCGGCCTCCCAATGTGCTGGGATGACAGGTGTGAGCCACTATGCGCAGACTGGATTTTTATTGTGCAGTCGGGGTTTGACTTCACGACCATGAGGGAGGATACTTTGCTTCTTCATGACACCACAGAGTTTAAATGTTGCCTGTCCAAGCACAGTACCTGCTGCAAATCCTAACACTAACCCGTATTCTGGGTCTTACGATATGCCAGGCCCAAAAGCATCCATGTTCGGTCCTGTTTAACTCTGTGCTCTCACAGGGAGATGTTTTATTTCTACTGGACAGACCAGGAACGTGAGGCTTGGGGTCCACCAGGTCACCTTCAAAAATGGCTAAGGTAACTAGTCTACCTGGACTCAAAGGCTTGGCCTGTAATCGCCTGGTGAGGTCCATGAGGGGAGGCCCCGCCTGTCCCGCCTATTCCACTGTTCCCAGCTGCGCTGTTCTGGCCATTCACTGTTTGTCCTGAGGACCCTGCCCCAGCCCTCACCGTCGGGGAAGTCAGGATGGCACAGCTGCAGATCTTTGCAGGTGCGGGCGGGGTTCTGCTGCGTGCCCAGGGGCCGCTTCATCTGCTCTATCTCCAGCTTCAGGGAGTTGAGCGAGCCAAAGATCTCCTCCATGCCGTCCGCATAGTCTGAGTAACTCTCCCCATTCCCGTCATCTAGCAGCTGGCTGGCATCAATGTTTCGCCGTGTCCGGGACGCCTGGATTGGCAGGGGCTGGATGACCTCGCCCGGGGGGCCCTGAGCGCAGCATAAGGACAGTGGTGAGTAGAAGGGTGGGAAAGGAACAGACGGGCCTGGGATGGGGCAGAGCTAGGACAGTGGGGTGCGCTGGGTTGGTGCACTGCTCGGGTCTCTGGAACATTCCACGCCTGTCCCCACTGCCAGGTTCTCATCTGCACTGAGCGCCTCTCCCTCTGAGCCACGTCCCAGGTGCCCCGAGACCCAGCCCCTCCTGCCTTTGTCTGGAGCCCACACTTAGCAGTCCAAGGCCTTGTGCTTGTGTCTGCCACCCTGTCCTCCCTGGATTGAAGCCCAAGCCTTGAGGAAAGTGATCAGATCCCCCCTCCTGTCTCTGGGCACTGCCGGGGCTGCACACAGTGGGGCCACAGGTTTGCGGGAGGCAAGGTGCTGCTTGCATTCAGAAGGCGCAGCCCAGATGAGGACGGTAGTCAAAGGGCTACACTGCCCAAGAGGGCGTCTCACCCCAGCCCAGCTCACAGCGAGCTTTCTCCTGCGCCCTAGGGGCCTGATCTAGCGTTCCCCCATCCTGACATGCATTCATGCACACACACATTATATTCAAATACATGTGGACACACCACACATGCACACACGTTACACATGCACAAACACACGCATACACATCACACACATTACACAGAGACACATATACATTACACATACATGCACACTATATAAGAACATGCACATTTCACGTGAATATGGACATTATACACTTTTCATGCATACACATTACACATGTACACATATGCACAAGGCATTATTCACACATTACATGCACAGACACCACACACATATTACATACATTATACATGCACACACACTACACAAGCTCACAGAAACATCACATGCACACACATTACATGGACATTAAAAACACACACACATTACACATGCACACACACTACACATGCTTACATATATTAGGCATACACACATTACACATGCTCACACACATTATACATGGACACACATTACACACGCACACATGCACTTTCTCCTCCCCCTACCTTGGCCAACTATTCTTCCTAAGGAAAGTTGGCCTGTGAGTCCTCTGTGGACAGACCTATGTGACTCATTTTTTCCCCACTGTGTCCCAAGGGACAAGGCCCCTGGGCCCACCACACAGGTTTCCTCAAGTCTAGAAGGAGGCCATGCAAACAGATGCTCCCCTCAGAGCTGGCCAGGACTCCACCCCTCTTCCAGGCTTTGAAGGCCACTTACCGGTGGGCCGGGGGGTCCTGGGTGGCCTGCCTCACCCTTTGGGCCAGTTGGACCCTGGGGAAAAAGAAGAGAGCCAAGCCTCAGTCACAGAGACACGAAGTGACTCTGAACCCACCTGCAGCTCTAGAATGTTCCCCGGAAACTTCCCTGGAGGAGGTGGCCCTCACAGCCGTGAGGAGGGAGCAGGACAGCAGGGACCCCTCTACCCTCCCAGAGGCCCCCAGATGGAACCAAGTGGGTCAGAGGCCTTCCTCAGGTAGACAGCAAGTGGCCCAAATGCCTGGGTCCGAACCATGCTGGGGCAGTTTGGAAAGATGGAGGGAGGCATGCGGCAAAGACTTCCCTGAGCTGAGATGGGCTCAGGTGGCCCTCATGCAAGAGGACACACCTCTCCCCTGCCCCCAGGCGCCTGGGCCAGGCAAGGGCTGAGAATCACTTACCGAGGAGCCCTTAGCACCTTTTGGACCGGGAGGACCCTGCAGAGAGCAGAGGGCAGAGCGTCAGCGGGCGACCCCCACCTCCAGCCCTGCCCATGCATCCGGTCCCCCTCATGCCCGTGTTCCCCCAAGAAGTCTCATGGAGATGGGAGAGGAGCCAGTGCAGCTAGTTCTCACCCACAGGGAGGCACCAGCGGGTCCTGCCCACTCAGGCCAGCCTCCTGCCCTCCCTGGCTGGGAGATGACAGCTCAGGCACCCCCCCGAGGGACAGTGGAAAAGGGTACGTCTTGGCTCAGAAGGGTCTGCTGAAACACACTCTCCTGCCTTTTTCACAGCCCTGGGGGCAACCAGGGGCCCCCTTAGGCCACATGTACCTGAGGCCCAGCTGCTATGGGGATGTCCTGGGGGTACCAGGTCTCCCCTAGCAGAGTGAGGGAGGCCCCAGGCTAGGGTGCCAGAAGAGAGGACCACGCTGGCCCCGCGGCTGAGGGAGGGGAGGCCTGGAGAGCCAGCACCACCCCCCCTCCTTCCCCAAATGCCTACAGACGAGAATCCTCATTCCCTAGAATGACGGATAGAGGTTTCCCTCCTGGTCTCCCCACCACAAACCAGCACCCCGCAACTCCAGATCCTTATTCCTGTCACTACTAACCCCAGTGTCGGGTTCATGGGGCAAATCTATCCTGGAAGCCATATGACTTCCCCTCGAATCTTCAGCTCCAAGGTTCAGGGCCACCCCACCCCCTGGCCCTCCCAGAACAACCCAAGAGAACCACTGAGTCCCTCCCAGATACTCACCGGCAAGCCAGGGGGCCCTGGAGGCCCGAGTGGGCCAGAAGGCCCAGTGATACCCTGAAAAGGAACAGAAGCCATACATCACCCATCACCTTCACCAAGGAGGACTTGATGAACAGTGCTCGCCTCCACCCAGCCGCCTCACCCCCCGCCCCCCCA